CTGTGATCAGAAAAACTGGGACTGACTAATACTTTAAAACCTTGAATTACGTTGGGGAACCTACCCTCCCCCATCTAGCTTAGCCAATAATGAGTAATTTCTCGAGCTGGCAAAAATGTTATTACTCATATCGAAATAAAAATAATCCTCGCTAGCCCTCTTTTATTAATTAATAATTATTCTGTAAATATCATTTTATGACACCTTTTTCAGTTGGTCCAAGTTTTCCCAAAACGTTTGTGATCTATTTTGCCTCAAGCTTGTCATTCCATACGTTTAACCCAATTCTGACATATGTGTCGGAAAGTTAACGAACAGACCCAGCAGTTCATTGCGAATCTATCCCATGCGTCCAACTAAATGCTTACGTGACACTCAGACAACGACCGAATGTACTCTGAGATTATCTCTACAAAATTTCACACCATTATAACAATCAACCACATACATGAATCGTGAGTCCGTCTTCAATTACAATCAACAACGTATATGAATAGACAGACTATCGTCAATGACAATCAAACATGTATATGAACAGCCTATCTTCACTACCAACAACAATTATGAATATGAATATGAATATATATATATATATATATATATATATATATATATATATATATATATATTAATATATATATATATATATATATATATATGTATATAAAGAATACAAATCATATGGCGAATAACAACCCTCTCAAGCGTACTGGATCCACCAAGGGATCAGGTCTGTCAGGGATTAATTAAAATAGATGCAATAAACTGACGACGAACAGTACGAAACTAGTAACTAACTAGCCTAAGCGCTTTCGACTCTTAATGAGTCTTTTTCAAAGGCAAATACAAAACATAGTTACGACAAACAAATAAACACAAAAACGTTGCGTTTGTAAACCTCTACATTTCTATCTTCACATGTGCTAAAACTATAAATACAACCAGCTTGTATAGACTAGTTGCGGAAACTGAAAACGTTGTATAATTCCCTAAAAGTCTACAAGCCAAAGCGACATCTATTTTTACTTTGTGTACATATGTAACGCAGATTATATCCCGGATATTTGGTTCTATACCGGTTATTCTTATAGTTAAAATTGAAGGATAAGAAGATTTAGAAAATGTTAAATTCTACTAGTGCATAGTTTTCATTTTCTAGTCTTCTTGGTTTAGACCGCTTGGTTTCAATGTTCTAAGGCGGCGTATCCAGTATGATTCCTTTTCCTTCCTGGTTTCGGAACTCCAGCTGTGGTTGTTGGCAATAGCGATAAGTATTATATCACTGAAAGTGTGGCCAGGGGAGGAGAAGTGTTCTGCGACCGGGCTTCTGTACAGCTTTTTTGTCATCCAATCAGATCTATGAAGGTTTATCCTTATGTGTAGCTTTTCAGTTTCTCCCACGTACTGAAGGCCACAGATCTTACATGTGATGAGATAAATCACATTCTCTGTTTTGCACGTTTTGTGTGGACCATGTATGTTTAGTTTTTCTTTAGTCACTGTGCTAGTGAGTGTCTTGGTCTCTATCATATGTTGACAGGTTTTGCATCTTTTATCGCCACAGGGTCCAGATTGACTAGGTTGGTTTTGACTAGCGATTGTTGTTAGCTTGGCCCTGACTAGGATGTCCTTTAGGTTTTTTGGTCTCCGGTAAGCTACTACAGGTTTGTTCGGAGTATTAGGTTTAGTATGTCTGACGATTGCACGGTTGGCCAGTGGTTTGCGATGATTTTACCTACTTTGGGATTGTCTGGGTGATAGGTCAGAATAAATGGTATCCTATCAACCTTTTCGTTCTGTCCATATCTGAGTAGGTCATCACGGTTTGTTTGTTTGGCCCTTTGGATTGCCTCCGCAATCAGGTCTTTGTCGTAGCCTCGGTAAATTAAATGTTTAGCCAGCTCTTCAGACCTTTCTAGGAATCTTTCATCGTCGGAGCAAATTCTGCGTATCCTCAGTGCCTGGCTATATGGAATGTTCTTAATGCAGTGTTTTGGATGACAGCTGGTTGGGAGAAGATACTGGTGTTTGTCGGTTGGTTTCGAGTAGATGTCTGTGTGTAATTTGTTTTCCACCAGTCTGGTTGTTGTGTCCAGGAAAACATGGTTTGAGTTGGAAATTTCTGCCGTGAATTTTATTGAAGGATGGAAGTTGTTTGCCTTTGAAATGAAGTCATCCAGACTTTCTCTTCCTTACTGCCACTTCATTTCTATATCATCGATAAAGCGTACCCACTGGTATGGTGTACGCTCAACCGATGCTAAGAGCTTTCCCTCAAGTTTTCCCATGAAAATGTTAGCATACAAAGGGGCCATTTTAGTACCCATTGCAGTTCCATTGATTTGTAGGTAGTTTTCTTCATTAAATTCATAGGTAAAATCATCGCAAACCACTGGCCAACCGTGCAATCGTCAGACATACTAAACCTAATACTCCCGAACAAACCTGTAGTAGCTTACCGGAGACCAAAAAACCTAAAGGACATCCTAGTCAGGGCCAAGCTAACAACAATCGCTAGTCAAAACCAACCTAGTCAATCTGGACCCTGTGGCGATAAAAGATGTAAAACCTGTCAACATATGATAGAGACCAAGACATTCACTAGCACAGTGACTAAAGAAAAACTAAACATACATGGTCCAAACAAAACGTGCAAAACAGAGAATGTGATTTATCTCATCACATGTAAGATCTGTGGCCTTCAGTACGTGGGAGAAACTGAAAAGCTACACATAAGGATAAACCTTCATAGATATGATTGGATGACAAAAAAGCTGTACAGAAGCCCGGTCGCAGAACACTTCTCCTCCCCTGGCCACACTTTCAGTGATATAATACTTATCGCTATTGCCAACAACCACAGCTGGAGTTCCGAAACCAGGAAGGAAAAGGAATCATACTGGATACGCCGCCTTAGAACATTGAAACCAAGCGGTCTAAACCAAGAAGACTAGAAAATGAAAACTATGCACTAGTAGAATTTAACATTTTCTAAATCTTCTTATCCTTCAATTTTTACTATAAGAATAACCGGTATAGAACCAAATATCCGGGATATAATCTGCGTTACATATGTACACAAAGTAAAAATAGATGTCGCTTTGGCTTGTAGACTTTTAGGGAATTATACAACGTTTTCAGTTTCCGCAACTAGTCTATACAAGCTGGTTGTATTTATAGTTTTAGCACATGTGAAGATAGAAATGTAGAGGTTTACAAACGCAACGTTTTTGTGTTTATTTGTTTGTCGTAACTATGTTTTGTATTTGCCTTTGAAAAAGACTCATTAAGAGTCGAAAGCGCTTAGGCTAGTTAGTTACTAGTTTCGTACTGTTCGTCGTCAGTTTATTGCATCTATATATATATATATATATATATATATATATATATATATATATATATATATATATATATATATATATATCAGAGTGAGTCCGCATATGAAGGGCTTATGGTTTATAAATTAAATCCATAAAATTAATCCAATAATTGACAACATAAGTCCTCTCACTAAAAGTTATAAATGAATCAAAGTTAGAATCCCTATGAAGTTCGAAGATGGAAGGCGATGACGTCTTCTATATCTAGTTTAGTGTAGTCGTGTCAACAGTTCAAGAATACTGTTCCAGCTTTAGAATTCAGAATAATTTCCTATAAATATCTTTGTCCAAGAACTTTCATGAAGCGCACTTATGTATGGTTTCCAGACAAATTAATTACTAATTCCGAAAACTAGAAAAATGTAGCTTAACTTCTCACAATACAAAATCCAAACGAGCTCTGAAGTTATCAATTTACGACTAAATTAAATCGCTATAAAACGTTAGTTTTCAAAGCAGTGTTTGATCACGTGACGGGGTCACGTAATCACTTGGTTCGAATGGCGTAGTATGCCAGTTGAGACGTACGCTATAGACGAATTTGATTCTACCTAACGAATCCTACTATAAAATTCAATAGTATTTAAAAAAAAGTTGTTTACAACAGAGATCGCACGCAAGCCAAATAAGACCTCGATTCCCACCAATGATTTTCACAGTAAAAAAGAAATAAAAATAAAGTTGTTTACCAATTCTGAATCAAGGTCAGGAACTAGGTCAGCTAAAAATGCAAACTATTTACTGAACTAAACTGAAGTTTCCGAAAAAAATGTCAAATTTAATGAATAAATTTATAATCACAATAATATGTAATGAAATAAAAAAAATATAAAAAATTTAACACTAACATCCAAGTACCATAAATTACATATACGTAACAAATGGCAATAAACTACATATAGGAAAGGATTTTATTCGCAATATGGTAAATGTTCCTTTTAAAAATTATCACTTTATGTGTTCATAGGAAATAAATGTTTTATTGAATTTTACAAAGCTTGTTGCTTCCCTCATTTCTATTACTTAATTTAAAACCATACAGTCTCAATTATATATATATATATATATATATATATATATATATATATATATATATATATATATATATATATATATATATATATATATATATATAGATGCAATAAACTGACGACGAACAGTACGAAACTAGTAACTAACTAGCCTAAGCGCTTTCGACTCTTAATGAGTCTTTTTCAAAGGCAAATACAAAACATAGTTACGACAAACTATGCATCTATTTTAATTAATCCCTGACAAACGTGATCCCTTGGTGGATCCAGTACGCTTGAGAGGGTTGTTATTCGCCATATGATTTGTATTCTTTATATATATATTTTTATATATATATACATATATATATATATATATATATATATATATATATATATATATATATATATATATATATATACACATACACATATATATATATATATACACATACACATACACACACACATATCATGCCGCTGATATGTAGCACGATGTAGCACCCAGTCACTGAATCCTGACACTAGGCCAACCAGTCCTAACACTAACCTCTTATTGCTGGGCGCAAAGCGAGGCGGCTGTTAGTATCATGTTTTGAAGTCTTTGGTATGACTCAGCTGGGGTTCGAACCCGCGACCTTCCGTATCCGAGGCGAACGCTTTACCCACTAGACTACCGAAGCGGTTGCAAAAAGAAATCAAACTCGTCTCAGTACAAGATCCAAGAAAGATAAAGACCAATTATAACAGTGGAAATTCCCAGAACTAAGAAAATCAGAGAAATTATTAGGAAAGACAAGAAGACAGACAAAACCAGGCACAAGAATAACGACAACACAAAATGCAGACCATACGACCCCACATACACAAATAAGGTTCGACCAGAATTTGAAGCACCACCATCAAGCCCAAGGAAAAGAATCAGTCCAACAACCAATCAAAGGAAACAAATGACATTGACACTGTCTTTCGAGAATTCTGTGTACTGAACCCCACTATCAATCCAGAAGTCTCTGTGTTGAGAGAATTCCACGCACTGAACTTCACTTCCGATCCAGAAGTCTATTTGGCAAACATTATGGATGCCAACACGAGTATTTGCACTGACATATATACAGGGAAAATATTATATCTAATTAGACCACAGTTTAAACCTGTTGCTCTTTATTGCACGAATCAGTATTGAATGTATACAAATCAGTTCAACTAGTTGGGTTTGCTGACAATTTGGAGAGGGTTTGCCCAGTAAAAGTATATTAATAATGCAAATATTTCAATTTTATATCTTATATACTTTATATCTTTATATACTTATTTTATTCCATATCACCAAGAGTTTAAGAGTTTAAACAATTTTACGTAAAATTTGACATCATTTCTATGAAGCAAAAGGAGAATATCAAACAAGAGCTAAAATGAGTGATACATAGATAGATAGATAGATAGATAGATAGATAGATAGATAGATAGATAGATAGATAGATAGATAGATAGATAGATAGACCGCTCCGGTGGCCTAGTGGTTAGAGCATCCACCTCAGATGCGGAAGGTCGTGAGTTCGATTCCAGGCCGAGTCATGCCAAAGACTTACAAAAATGGTGCTAATAGGTGCCTCGCTTAGCGCCCATCATTAAGAGGATGACGAACAAGCTGATTTACACAATGTTTACACATGGAATCTTCCGTTCAGAAATTGGTGACTACTGGGCATTTATCTGGCATTTATTTCCCTTTATACCTGGATGACTGACAGCCAAGAATATAGACTATTCTTCACAGACGGTATGTGAATAATGTTTATGCAATATCTGGGATATTAACGGGTTCTCAGATTTTGGATTATGCATGATATTCAATGTGGAAAAGAAATCCGAAAAGATGAAGTAATTTGGTTTTGACGGGTTTCATTGTAATTCAAAGCTTTGAGCATGATTGAAATTTCTGTAGGAATAGACGCTTTATCCGGTAACCGGCCCAAGATTGTGCCATGGCATTGCAATGGCTGCTCCAATGTGTACTCGAACGTTTAAACCGTCGATATACGTAGACGTATGATTACGACAGGAGGCTCTGGTTTCACTGAATCTACTCTTTACAGGGGGTGGGAGGATTTGTTTAAGAGTTGATCCATTTGGAAAGGTAAAATTCATTTATAGAAGGCTTCGATAACCATAACAGTCATTTGAGAATACAGAAATCTAATATTTCCAATCCTGATTTTCACTGTTTATACGCGAGAACAAATTCATATACCATAATGTGGAATGAAGTTACGTTTATGAATGTAAAAAGTTTGCCTTTTCAGCCTAAACACTGTATCAGTGTTAGATATTTTTTAATACAGATTGGCATCATACTGGAGTCTCATTCGATCGTCTGATACTAAGCGATGGCTTCTTTGCCTCATCATGGAGACGCTTTGAATAGGACGTTTTATTTGTACCAAACATCGTCTGAGTCCCAAGCAGCGGCAGGTAAGATTTACAAACTGATTCGAGACATAGTTCAGTTCCAATCTTACTATTAACCCGTACAAGCGAAGGAAGACCTTTCTATATGCCCATCATTATGTGCTTGCCACGACTCTTATTAAACCCATAGCTTTGTTTTTACATTTGTCCCCGACTTAATTTACAACAATTATGCCATTAAAAACATGATGCACCAAAAGAGCCCTTTTCATCAGGTAATTATGAGACAAAGACACGTCTACCATTTTAAAGACGAACAAGCACATACAGAATAGTGTTATGTAGTAAGAAAACTTTTGGGATTTAGAAAAATAACGATGAATTATATAGTAAGTTGTGAAATAAAGAAACTTATTGATTAACGAAATACTTTTCATATCTATTTCTTTCGCATGTGAATATATAAGATTTACCATCATGACTTGTCCAACTGTAGCAATAAAAACAGACGTTTCGTGAGCAAACTGCATTACATTTCAGATATGTAGTTATTCCCCTTACTTTGCCGTATAGTAAAAAACTCTATTACTTATGTGACTGTACCTTCAGCGATGGACTTTATATAGAAATTAATGAATCACTTTAACTTGTAATGTGATTAACATTGCTTAATGAACCTTTACCATGTTGTAACAAATTCATTTATCGAGGCAAAACTAAAACGCGTTTGTTGATAATTAACATTAATTAATAATTAATAACATTTCTGATATCTACGTTTGAAAGATTTTAATGGTGACTCTAGGAAAAGATGTAGATCACAGCGTGATGAGATTTTGGAAGAATTAACTGGGTAGTGTGGATAATACCATATATTACGTGACAAGGACTCGTACTCAGTAACAAAGAAAAGAGTGAAAGCCAACAAGCTATGTAAATTTTAACAAAATAATTTATTTCCCTAGACAACAAAGTAAACGTTGGTAAATAGGACTTACAGTTAGTGAATATAATTCAAATATGATTCTAAGAATAAAAACACAAGTAATATCACTAAATAATCCTATAAGAATCCAGGTTCGAATCCCGAAGACGTACGAATATGAAGTTGCCCTTTATAATGACGTCAAATGTGGTCCAACGTATGAATATCAATAATTCCTCACGTGAATCACAATCTTTGTGATAATGTAATAAATTCCAGAATAAATTTTCATGAATATCTTTCAGAATTTTATATAAGAAAGTCAACTCTTTAAGTGTCCAGGAGAATACATTATTAAATCCAAAATCAGACAAAGCATAAATTTGGTACAATATAATACTTTGTCACATTGACATTAACAGTAACGAAAGGGCAGAAAAAGCAACTTGTTTTAAAATACTATGTAAATCGGCATGTTTCATATACTTCGCAATATATGTGGAATGAAAACTTCACAAACTTATCACTGGAGAGTAAAATATAAACATCAAAGGTGCGCGTCGGTCGTGTATATGAATGACACTGTACATTTATCTGACACTTCCATACTTACTGAAGGGTAAACCTTGAAAAAAGTGCATACCCTGCTAGTGTCGACTGATGGTCGAATAAATTGTCGAGAGTATCAACTTTCTCCCTCTGAGACGAAATTTTTCTTTTATTTTATAGCAAATAGTGTATCTAATTAAGAAACTTTATGAAGAAGTAACACCAAGAATTTCGTGTTTTACCTGTATATCTTATTTTACATACATTGCGTAGAACCTGAATATCTTTACTGTTGATATTTCAACTACAGGGCTTAAGTGTACATTTATTTGGAAGGATTTGTCTTACTAATATATATATATGAGCAATTCGTTTTTGCAGTTTAGAATTTTACCGTTAATTGCATCATACAGCGATGGTTATGCTGATGTGCAGTGAAACGCCAATACACAATATATTGATCATTGTGCTGAGATGCAGTAAAACCCCAATACAATACACAGCGATCATTGTGCTGAGGTGCCGTAAAACACCCCAATACACCATACAGCTATCATTGTGCTGAGGTGCCGTGAAACGCATATACGCCTTAGCAGCCATCACTGTGCTAATGTACCGTTAAACCCGAATAAACCATACAGCGATCATTGTGTATAGGTGCCATGAAACCCCAATACGTCATACAGCGATCATTGTGCTGAGCGACTATGTTTGCATTTCTCGAAGAAGAGTCTTTGTACCACTTTTTTGGTTGTTGAGGCAAATGTCCACCGACCATCTGATTTAGGTTGACATAATTATATTTTATGCTCTGTTCACAACGACAAATTAATTGAACGATGGCTAAGCCTTCTGTTGTTTATCTTAAATATAACAAACATGCACAATAACTAAAGATTAGACTCAAGCCTCTTCAACATACTTCAAAGAAACCTGGTATTCTACAGTGAGTAAAAGCAATAGCAATTAATTGACAAATTGTTACCGTGACAAGGGCTTGAGTTCACTAACAAAGAAAAGAGTGAAAGCCAACAAGCTTTGCATATTTCAACAAAACAATTTATTTCCCTAGACAACAACGTAAAAATTGGTAAATAGGACTTACAGTCTGTGAATATATCCAAATTTTGATCCTAAGAATGAAAACACGTCCTATCACTAAATAGTTTTATAAGAATCCAGGTTCGAGTTCCGACGACATACAAATACGGAAGGCGATGACGTCAGATGTAGTCCAATATGACGTCAGATGTAGTCCAATATATGAATATCAACAATTTCCTTACTTGAATCATAGTCTTCGTTTCCGAATAATTCCAGAATTAATTTCCTTGACTATCTTTCAGAATCTTTTATAAAAAAAGTCAACTTGTTGAGTCTCCAGGGGAATAAATTAATAAATCCAAAAATCAGACGAAGAATAAACAATCTTAAAAACAAATTAAAATACACACCTTGCTTCTTCAACGTTTTGAATGACTCTGCCAAACAAATATTAAGAATGCATATTTAACCTCAAAACATCACTTCAAATCTCGCGAGATTGGTCATGTGGTCTCTTTCTACGCTAATTTTCACACGTATTCCAATGTCACTCCACTTTAAAAACCAATCATAAATAGGTTGTTTACAAACAGTGATCACGCAAAGAAAGCATGCCCATGATACTGATCAATCATTTTAACTTCCTGTTGACACTTTTACCAGGGTAAGACTGACTAAATGATAATGTTCACGTAACACTTCTTCGTCTTAAGTAAAATAAACTTTGTGATAAAACTATATCTCACTACTAAAAGTAGAATCCCGAATACGAGAAAGATATTATTGCAATTAAATACAATAAAACAAAAAAGAGAAAAAAGAATTTTAAGCCTTACACACAAGCAATTAATCACATGGACGTAACACTTTCCCCCATAAAAAAGAGAAAGATTTTTATAATAAAGCTTTCTTTTTACCATCTGTAAATTATACATGTGGTAAATAACATTACATAAGAAATTTCATATGAATAATATAATATGTGAAATAATATTTATATACACGGGAGAGTGCATATACAATCAAATTGTCTTTTCCCTTGATATACTTGATGTTCAGATTATACTGGTGCAAAAACAAACTCTCACTACTTAATAAAGAATCCTGAATACGAGAAAAATATTCATTGCAATCAAATACAATGAAACAAAAAAGAAATAAAAGGAATTTTAAACCTTACGCACAAGCAATTTAATCACATATACGTAACAAAATAAACAATGTCCATTTTTGTTATAACTAACAATGCTTAAAAAATGGGTGTGAATTTATGTTCAAATTTCAAATGTGGTGTCAATACACCCTTAAGATCCATGATCTTGTGTGTGTGTGTGTGTGTGAGAGAGAGAGAGAGGAGAAGGAAGAGGGAGAGGAGAGTGGGTCAGTAAAGTATATATTTTATATTTGATAATACATTTATTCAGGTGACAACAGTCATACCTGTGCACTAACGGTGATGTGGGATGCGAGTATACATCAAAGCTAAATGTTACTATATATAAATAAAGCAGTATAAAGATAATGGGGGGGAAGAAGAATGACTGTGGGGAAAGTCCTATTTGATGGGGGAGAGTATAGGGGTATATGTAGGGGGGAATGACTGGGAAAAAATCCTATTTGATAAGGGGGAGTATAGAGGGTATATGTC